TCTCAAATCCAAAAAACTCTGGTCCCAAGCATTTTAGATAAGGAATACTCAACCTGTACTAAATAACACAGTATCGTTGCTAAAGAAAAAGAAAAAAAAAAAAAAAAACAAAGGCAAAATGTCAGAGAAAAATATTTTAAATTTAATAAACATGATAGTCTTATTTTAAATTTCAGTGAAATCTATTTTCCCTTAACAAGCATTTTCAAGGAGAAAAAAAGTAAAGATTAAAAATAGAATCACTGAGAATTCAAATGGAAAGGAAATATATCAAGAAAATAATATTGCCACATGCTCTTCTTTGCTGCATCCTGATAACATATCCAAACTAATGACATTTCAAAACAGAGGCAGAGTTCTTGAAAAAAAAAAAAACAACACATAGTGAAGCCATCTCACTTTAAAAACTTAGAATTAAATTAATGCTATACTTCCTATTACTTAGCTTATTGTGCACATGCCTTAAAAATAAAAAATTTCCTAGGTTTCCTGCAATTATGGTAAACAAAATACAAAGAAGTAATCACAACAAAGCAAATTTTTTTTCCTCAATGACTTTTACGTAAAATTTCTTAACCCATTAACACGAGAAACACACTTGGAATAAATGTTTCCTTACTTACTGGTTCTTCCTTAACAACTAGGCATAAATCACCATCACTGCTCCGGGTACCAAATCCATTTAAAGAGGACCCAACCAAAAAAAGTCTGCTTTCTAAAGAAACAGAAGAAAGTAGTAAGAGTACTTAAAATCTAAACAAGGTGCACTGGTTCTGTGCCTATTAAAAAAAAAAAAAAGATAAAATTTAAAATAGGAAACCATATACCTAAAGGGCATGCAAAATAGGGAAACATACGTGGAAATAACAGCTGAATTTCTCTCTGCAGCTGGGTTCGACAGAGTTCTTTCTTCTTTAAATCACTTATATGCTGCTGACAAGTTTCAAATAACTCCAGTATCTGCTGACTCAACTTGAATCCACCGCAAAAAAAAAGTAAAAGTTTTGTTCAGCAATGTAAAAGTAATTGCCATTTGGAGAAGTATAAATCAATTATATTGACACTATTTTAAAAGGGAATATATATTATCTTCTTAATAGTTTCCGAAACAAAGCTACTATTACTCAAGTACAGGAGGAGTATGGTCTGAAAAACTATATATAAATTTTACAAAGTAAAATTTACAACTCACAGAAAAGTATAGACACAGATACTTCATAATAAAAATAATCCATGGGTCAGCAAACTGTTTAACACTTGCTCACTGTATTTGTATGGCCCCTGAGCAAAGAATTTTTTTACATTTTTAAAGGATTATGAAAACAAACAAATAAGAATATGCAACAGAAACAATATGTGAGTGGCAAAGCCTAAAGTATTTACTATTTGGCTCTTTAAATAAGTTTGCCCAATCCCTAGCATTCACACCCACAAATACCAAATATAAGAGATGTCACCAGTCCCTGGTCTTCTGGGCTCATGCAAACCACCCCCTGTCCCATTCTTGTAATAATGCCCTGAACCCTAACTTCATGTTGCCATGTACTTACCACCTTTTTTTTTTTTTTTTTTTGAGACGGAATCTTATTCGTCGCCCAGCCTGGAATGCAGTGGTGCGATCTCGGCTAACCGCAACCTCAGCTTCCTGGGTTCAACCGATTCTCCTACCTCAGCCTCCCAAGTAGCTGCGAATATAGGCATCCGCCACCACACTCGGCTAATTTTTCGATTTTTGTAGAGACAGGGTTTTGCCATGTTGGCCAGGCTGCTCTCGAACTCCTGACCTTAAGTGATCCCCCTGCCTCAGCCTCCCAAAGTGCTGGTATTACAGGTGTGAGCCATCACAACTGACCCTACCACCCTTTTATCTACTGATCTGGTTCACACTTTTCCCTCTAGCCCAATTCTTGCCATCAACATAGGTGATTTCCCTATTTGAAATGGGCTATATATCACGACATACTCCGTTTCTGGACTTTTATTTCCTCCAGTATCCTTCATCAGTATACACTCCTATAATGTGGTCTTTACAATAAACTGGAACTGCTCTAGCTCTGAAATTTTAAATTCCAATATACTATCTTGGCTTCAATCTCCTATCCAATTCACACTTTCTCACTCTCCTCATACCTGCTCTACAACCACAAGAGATCTAGATTCCTTTGAATCCTCCCTTTTCCGCCAAGCCATCAGTACCTAAATGGTGTTATTTCTTTTCCTATGCAGTCTACGCCACACAGTGCATCCCTTGAACCACTCTCTTATCATGCCTTAACAACATTATCTACCTTGTCATGTTCTAAAACTTGTCCTACAAAACCCTAATCTTAGGTCAATTAAAAAAAAAAAAAAAAAAAAACACCTTCTCTGCTCTTACATCTAAGTTGCTAAGAGACAAAACTGAAAAAAAAAATTAAAATTATAAAATTGGAGTATTTCAAGTTTAGTCTTAGGTTGGCCCTTAGCATCACTTAGCAATTTCTTCCAAGTCTTTGGTTAGATATCGCTTCTGTTTTTCATTATACCATTCCAAAACGTTTACTATCTTCTTCAAGCCCTCTAAACTTATCTCCCTTTCTCTAGCAGATACAGTTAAAGTTTACTACGAAAATTGAGAATACCAAATGCGATATTCCTCAGCCTCTTAACCACAGACCTAAAAACAAACATATCTGGGGGGTGGGGGGGGGGAAGGTGCCCTTTTCCCCATTGAAAGCTAATCTCTCTACCAATAATTTTGTATTCAAGCCTTCTGGTCACCTTAAGGGCACAAACACCTCTACCAGCTTTTCAGTCCTGCTCTTGTATTTTCAATCTCTCCCTCTCTAGGACTGCCTTATAGTCCATAATGAGGCAAAAATATCACCCATCATGAAAAATGTTGTCTTTCACATATTTAGGATCCTCATTTTAAGAAGGCAGAGGCATTCTAGGCAATTTGGCAATGAAAGAAGCATAACTTTCTTTAAAATCTCTGAATACCCACCCCACAAAAGACAGAGCAACTAGGAGAATAAATCAAAGAGATCAAACCAAACCAAAATGTGGCCAAAAAATAAAACACAATTGACTGACCAAGTATTCTTCATGAACACTCAGGAGTGCGACAAATACCAAGAGCAGCAAGATTCACACGGTATCAGACACGGTAAAAGAAAAGGGAATGGGATTTGAAACAGTCTTAAAAACAGAACATGCAGAAATCAAATTGCTTATAGGTAATACCTTCTCCCCCTCACTCACCAAACTAAGCAGCCCACATCAATGTACCACAACCAAAATAGGCAAGCAGCTTCATAGGCTACAATTCATAGGTAAATGCAAGGGGACCAGAGAAAGATCAGAGACCTTCAAACAAAATGAGGTTCCCTTCCAAGAAAAAGCAACAGCAGAAATTACCAGGAAGAGAAACTTAAACTGGACAGTACAGAGCCATCAGGAGGAAAGGAAAGGTGTAAAATGATTCTGACTCTCAGTGGACATATGAATATGAAAACATTTTTGGTTATCATAACAGGACCAGGCAGGGCAGAGGGAAAGTCCCTGGCATTTAGTAGGTAGAGGCCAGGATGTCACTGAACAGCCTACAATACAGAGGACAACTCTACCACAGCAAAGATTATCTGGCCCAAAATGCCAATAGTACAGAGGGTAAAAAATTCCGCTCTAGATAAAAGTAGGAAAGGAAAAAAGCAAAGGCACTCAGGAAGTATATTTCTGAATACTACACAAGAACAGAAGAGGGCTGGGCGTGGTGGCTCACGCCTGTAATCCCAGCACTTTGGGAGGCTGAGGCAGGTGGATCACAAGGACAAGAGATCGAGACCATCCTGGCCAACACGGTGAAACAGCATCTCTACTAAAAATACAAAAAAATTAGCCAGGAGTGGTGGCACATGCCTGTAGTCCCAGCTACCCGGGAGGCTGAGGCAAGAGAATCACTTGAACCCAGAAGGCAGAGCTTGCAGTGAGCTGAGATCACACCACTGCA